AGGCCAAGCGCGTCCTGGATGCGGCGTGTCCGCCATCTCCTGCACCAGTGGGGCCTCCCAGACCCGCCATGGCCGCAGGCGGGGCCAGGGACCCGCGCCCAGTACTTCGACCTCGTGAAAGCTGCGGCGCAACGGCAGGAGCAAGCGTGGCTAGCGAACCCAGCGCAGCGGGGGGCGCTGACACGCGGTGCGGGCGTGGGGTGCAAAGCGCTTGAGCACAGCATCGCCGGCGCCTCGCTCCCCCAGGCACGCGCGCGGGCACGCCTGCGCCTGCAGGGCGTCTTCTCCTGCGACGAGGCGGGCGTCGCCAGGCCGTGCCGCTTCTTGGGCCACTCGCAGGAGACGGCGGCCCACTTCCTGAGCTTCTGTGGGGGCGCCGCGCAGGCGCTCCGCCGCCAGCCTCAGCAGAGAGGCGGCCTCACGCCGCAGGAGGCGCGCCGGCTGGAAGCTGCGCTCCAGGCGCAGCAGGCCATGCCGGAGCGGACAGGTGCAGCCCCCACCCACGCTGGACCCGAGCGCGGGGCGTGCCTGGGCCCGCCGCCGTCCTGACCTTGCCCCCGCCCGTGGGTCCGTGGCCTGGCCCCTGCCCTCCCCCCCGCTGCCCCGTGCGTGTGCTGTCCCTCCTGCCCTGGGGCCGCCCCCCCTCCCCCTTTTCCTGGCCGCCTGCTTGCATACGCCCTGCTGCCCCCCCTCCCCCCCTCTGCCCCCTGCCCCCGTGCTGCCCCTGACCCCCCTTCCCTGGCTCCTGCCTCTGGCCCTGGCCTGCCTGGTTTCCCCTCTGGCCTTGCCTGCCCCCTCCGCGGCGTCATTCCGCACCTTTCCGCTCCAGGCCGAGTACCCACAGCGCAGCAACCCGCCCCCAGCGGGGTTCCCGTTGTCCCCCCCCCCCGCGCGGCACACCACTTGCCGTGCGCAGGGGAGGCCGCCCGGAGGGACCCTTACCAGGGGGCACGGAGGGCGGATGCCCCCCGCATAGCGTCGGGCGTCACCCTCCCTGCGCCCCTGCCGTGGGGATGTAAACCGCGCGGCAGTCAGCTGTCCGCGGGGTGAAAGGGGCCGCGCCGGGCGGCCCCGCCGGCCGCGGCGCCACGCGGAACGGCGTCGTCAAGCGGCTCGGAAGGAAAGAAGGGGCACAATAAGTGGGAGCTTGGGGGGGTTATTCGAACATCGTCGGGGATTCTTGGATTAACGCTGGTCCTCCTCCTCCTCCTCCTCCTCCTCCTCCTCCTCCTCCTCGCTCCTGCTCGCTCCTCCTCCTTGGCCTCCTCCTGGTCCTCCTCCTCCTCCTCCTCCTCCTCCTCCTCCTCCTCCTCCTCCCCTCCTCCTCTCCTCCTCCTCCTCCTCCTCCCCCCCTTCATTCCTCCTGTTCCTCCTCCGCCTCCTCCTTCTCGCTCCTCAATCCTCTTCCTCCTCCTCCTCCTCCTCCTCTTCTCCTGCTCTTCCTCCTCGTTCCTCGCTCCTCTTCTTCCTCCTTCTCCTCCTCGTCCTCCTCCCCCTCCTCCTCCTACCCCTCCATCTCTCTTTCTCTCCTTACCTCCTCCTCCTCCTCCTCCTCCTCCTCCTCCTCCTCCTCCTCCTCCTCCTCCTCCCGCCAGAGTTTTGCTATCTACCGACGAGCGAGCCAGCTGCGTCAGTCACGCCTGCTTCCCCCGCCGACGCTGCCAGAGGCCGCCACGGATTCGCGCCGGCGCGGCGGCCCCCGCCGCCCGGTCGGCCTCGCCGACGGGGCGATAGTGCGCCCCTGGCGGAGGCGGCTGGCGCGCGGCCTCTGGGCGGGGGCGGCGGCGGCGCGGAGGCGCGCCCAGACCCCTGCGCGTGGCGAGAAAATCTCGGCGGGATATCGGATGGCCATTTTCGGCCTCGATCCGGGGGCCCTCACCGGGCCCCGGGAGCGTCACAAAAGGAGTCGGGATGAAACACCGCTCCCGGGGAAGGGGTCCAGACCTCTGGGGGTCGACGTTGCTGTGAAAAGATCACGACTGCGGGTGTCTGCGCGCGCACGCCGCACTCCCCCTCGCACCGTGCCGCGCCGCTCCAGTCTCCATCCCCCTCCCTTCATCGAAGAACAACAAAAGAAACGGCAGGCACATTGACTTTCAGAGTTCCGCGCGGATGTCTTGTATCTGCGCTGGGCCCCCCTGGCGGCGCCTCTGGCGCCGCCCCTGGATCGCCCTGCGCGCCAGGGAGGGTGGGTCCAGCTCAGATCCAAGAATTCCACGCAGACCGCCAACAGTTCATGTTTATGCCGTTTTTTGTTCCTCTATTTCAGCGGCGAGCCCAGGGGGCAAGTGAGGGGGGGCGGGCCTTTTCAGAAGGCTCGGAAGGCTTCGGGCCTTTTGAGAGGAGTTCTGAGCCTCGTCCAAGGACGGAGACGGCTCCTCAGAAGGCCCGAGGGCTTCTGAGAAGCTTCGCCGCCTTCTGAGAAAGCCCGCCCCTGTAACTTCCCCCCTTGGCTCGCCGCCGATTTTTCCTCTGGCGAAAGTGGCTTCGCCGCCGAACATTTTTTTGTCTCGTAAAGCCCTGGCATTCGGGTCGGGGCTCCCTAGGCTTCCGGCAGCGCCGGAAGCCCTCTCCTGGGACGGGGCTCTCATCCTGCACATGAATCATTGCTTGGCGGCCCCGGGGGCTGGATCTGGCCACTGCAGGACGCCAACATCGGCGACAATAACTTCCAGCACGAGTTCTCCGAGTTGCCACGGGTGTGGGCCTGGCGGGGGTTAGAGGTGGAATTCCTGGCGATAGGCACGGAAAAACGGAGCCAGGTGTTGGCACGGCTCTGGTCTTGCGACCCTGAGCGCTCTCAGGGTGGAGCGGCATCATCTGTCAGGAGTATTTGCGATTGCCGATTCTCCTCACTTTCAGATAGGGTTCTCTCATGAGACTTCATGATGAAGCTGCCTGGCAAGACGATGGGAAGTGCGCAGCAGCTGCATGGACAAATGGTGGATACATGTCAAAACTAAGCTATTGCTTGATTGTTCTCTGGCGGTGCGACGAACTAAACTTTCACGCCGTCGAAACAGTTGCATTGGTGGGTGACGGTTCCTTCTCAAAATGCAGCTCCTGCTTTTGACACCCTCCGATGTAATAAGCACATGTTGAAACAGATGGTTTATCATTGCATGTATGGAGGGCGGAACGTTTCAAAACGTGTTCTCGTCAGGCGCTGGTGGGTTCCATAGTAGCTTCCTCTACTTCTCGCACTTGTGGTCTATAATGTCCCTGAGGTGTACCAGCACGCGATCGTCGACCACAATGTCTTGCTTGGTGATGGGTCCATGTTTGACCGACTTGTGAAGTCTTCTGGGCGCCACATGAGTCTCCATCCAGGAAGCGAACTGCTTAAGCGAAATTGGACTGTCTCCCCTCTGGAATCTCTGTGCGATTCGATCGGCTCGTGATATGAGAACTTCAACTCATCATTGGTCGCGTTGCCAAGCTCTTTGAAACAATTGCTGCCACCTCCGCGAAGACGGGTCGCCACCAGCACTCACTCGCAAACCTGTGTGGGCGTGCCTGTTCTGGGCATTCCGCCACCACATCCTTAATGGCCAGCAGCAAATACTTCCTCTGTTTACGCCCAGTTTCTCTACATTGGTGTAAACTGACAAATCATGTGTGGACGCTGGCCCACCACACAGCTAAGGCGCTTGCAGGGGTGGCTCGCTGCTTCAGTGGATTTTTTCTCTGAGAAAATCGCTCCTAGACTACTGCTGCAACCTCGGACGTCTCACCGCCCGTGATGTTCCTGCGAAGTGGCCCCGAAAGAACAAATTCAAGAAGTGTGCAACGAGCTCACCGAAGCAAGATCCAAAGGATCGCTGTGAGAACATCATATTGCATGTGACAACGCTCGGCCAGTATGAACCCAACCTCGGCCCTACAACGGGTCCATGCCTCCTCGGGAACGTGAAACTCTGCTGGCACCGGATCACGAGATTTATCATTCTAACTAATCGTACTCAAACTTGTTTCGGGGTGGGTGGGTGGGTCCTTAAGTCAGGTAAACCAGGTAAGGCAAAATCTGCACCAGACGCGCTCCCGTGCCTTCCGGAAGGACACAAGACGCCGATGCGGGGCCGAAGTTCCCGACTTGACACTCGAACTGGATTGCTCCACAGACCGGCCCTTGCAGACCCCAGAGAACGGTGCTTAAAGTCGGAGTCGTGAGCCCAGCGGTCCTCCTCAAAGCCAGACTCGTGCTGCTGCGACTCGGGCCGAGGCGGGCCTGCAGGGCCCCGCGGGTCCTCAGCGAGCTCGGTTTCGGCTTGAGCAGCTTCACCTCTCGCTTGCAGTGGCTGCACCGGCAGGATGGCTTGGTTAATGTGTCGCTCCATGCATGGCGACCGCACCCAGTGCACTGGGACCGTGGACGAGAGAAACCTGTCATCACTTCTGCAGATGCAAGGGATGCACCTTGGGTGAAGTGCCTCCAGCGCCTCGTGCCACAATGGTCGGAGCCCAAGTTGCCTGAGGGGGCGGCATCAGGAGGGGGAGAAGGGAGGGGAGGAGGGGAGGAGAAGGTGAAGGGAAGGAGAAGGAGGGGGGAGGAGGGAAGAGGATGGATTAGGAGGAGGAGGAGGAGGAGGAGGAGGAGGAGGAGGAGGAGGAGGGAGTGGATGAGTGGTTGGGGGAAGTAGGGGGAGGTGGACGAGGAGGATGATTTTCACCACGAGGCGGAGCAAGATGAGGGGTTCGTCGCTTCCGCCGCCTTGCCAGGCGAGGAGGAGGAGGAGGATGAAGATGAGGAGGATGAGGATGCGAACGCGCAGCAGCAGGATAATAATGAGTAGGGTCAGGAGAATGAGGAAGATGATCTGAAGCTGTGTGGAGCAGGATGAGGAGAGAGGAAGAGGAGGAGGAATGTGAGGATGAGGGCGAGGAGGAGGAGGAGCAGGAGGAGGAGGAGGCACAGGAAGAGGGGAGGGAGGGAGGAGGAGCGAGCAGGAGAGGGACGGCGCGCAGGAGGAGCGGGGCCAGGGCGGAGGGAGGAGCGGCGGCGCGGCCAGGCGGCGGCAGGGATGCCCCAGGGGAGGCGGCGGGAGGAGGAGGGCCCCCGCATGGCCGTGCCCGGCTGCACAGCCCCCCGCTGCGCGCGCGGAGCCTGCGAAACCCTTCCATGTGCCATGGGCCCCGCCCGCGCGCTCGCCGCCGCGCTGGCCTGGGCGCTGCTGCCCCGCGGCGGGGCCTTCCGCGCCCGAGGCGTCGAGCTCCCCGAGCTGCGGCAGGAGGCGGGCCGCGCGCGCGGCCCGGCGAGCCGCGCGGCGCCCGCCGGGCAGGAGGAGGCGCCGGTGGAGCTGCAGACGGGGAGCAAAAGCACACACACAGAGAGACACAGGGAAGCGTCGATCCCCCAGGAGAAAAGGGTGGGAAAGCATATGGGAAGTGGGGGGGGGGAGAGGAAGACCCAGAAGAGATGGGAAAGGAGGGGGGGAAGCCTGGCACTGCGTGTGCGTGTGTGTGCGTGTGCGTGTGCGTGTGCGTGTGTGTGTGTGTGTGTGTGTGTGTGTGTGTGTGTGTGTGCGTGTGTGTGTGTGTGTGTGCGTGTGCGTGTGCGTGTGCGTCTGCGTGTGCGTGTGCGTGTGTGCGTGTGTGTGTGTGTGCGTGTGTGTATGTGTGTATCTCTTTGCGCGCCCCGAGGCCCCCGCAGAGCTGCAGGCGGGCGAGCGCCCCGAGGCCCGGCAGGAGGTGGGCCGCCCGACGGGCCCGGCGAGCCCTGTCCCGCGGCGCGCCGTGCGGGGCGAGACGCCCCCAGCTCGGCAGGCGGGCGGGCACTCCGAAGCCGAGCGCGAGGCGGGCAGCCCGAGGCTCCCCGCGAGCCGCCCGGCGAGCCCTGCCCGGCAGCCCGCTGGGCACGAGGGGGCGCGCACGTCTCGAAAGCCGGTCGGCCCGAGCGCCCTCTCTGCCCTCGGCAGCGGCCGCCTCGGCGGCGCCGCCGCGGCGCGCTCGGGGGCGCTGACTCGCCAGGCGCTGCAGGGCGTTGATCATCTCCAGGAGCAGGCACTGGGCGCCGCCGTCGTCGTCTATGCATTGGTGGTCGTGTGCTGCGCGGCCTACACTATCGCAGGGAAGGACGACCACCGGACTCAGGAGCTGAAGAGACTTCAGTCCTTCGAGCGCGACCGGCTCAACGAGGCCGTCCACACGCTTGCCGACCAGATGGAAGCGAGCCTCGCAGAGATGGCCGAGGACGCAACGCTGTTGGCGGAGTCCAACTTCGAAGACAAGCGGCGCGATTTCCTAAAGTTCCTCAGGAGCATGAAGGAGCAGCCTCAGAAGCTTGGCCACGCAGGCCTAGCCGCCTCACTCCGACGCTTCGTGCGCCAGTGGCTGGAGGCTTTCAAGGAATGCTCACTGGACCCCGGGAGCGCGCCTGTGGTGGTCCTTCAGGACGAGGAGCTAGGCCGCACCGAGAGCATGCCCGTGGCCGAGATGCTCGGCCTACTCGTGGAGAAGCTGGACAAGGTGGAAGTCAGGTTTGCCGTGAAGGCCGTGGTCGAGCTGAGAGCTGCTCGCAACGCGCGCACCGACCCCGGCAGCGCTGCTGCACGCTCTGTGCTGCCGCCCGTCAGGTGCATCTGCGCCGCTACTTGCGCAGTGCTGCTCGGTGTGGCGCTGGCGGCGCTGAACTGGGCGCGAGACCTTGAGCTGTATGCGGTCTGCGCCCTCATCGCTGCTCTGGCCAGTCCGCTCATAGCGATGCGCGCGGACACCTCGCTGGAGAGGCTGAACCTGCAGGTGGCGCAGCTGAAGGAGCAGAAGGCCGACGTGGAGGCGAGGCACACGGAGGTGGCGCGAGTGTTCGGCAAGCTCCAGAGCGTGACGCACCTCTGGCTGCACCGCGTGCTGCCCCGCCTGGAGCTGCTGACGGAGGTGCACGCGGCGCTGGCGCACGCCTCCGCCTCCGAGGCGGCGGGCCTGCTGAACGCCGGCTGCGACATGCTCGATCAGGTGACGAAGGCCCTGGGCCCCCTGCCGCTCTGGTGGGGCGACACGATGCTCTCAGAGAAGCACCTCGCCGTGCTGACCGCACAGCTCACCGACTCGTCGCAGGGGGTCTCCACGAGGGTCGACGCCGGGGCGACCCTCCTGGACAAAAGCATAGCCCGGAGTATCGCGCGGAAGAACGACGGGTGGGCGGCTAAGAAGTCCGCGGCCGATTGCTGCGGCTGCAAGCAGAGCTTCTACGTGGGCGGCGTCCTCATCTGTCGCCGCAACCACTGCCGGCGCTGCGGCGGGCTGTTCTGCACGCAGTGCACCACGCAGGAGATGTGCGTGCCGAAGCTCGGCTACGCCATCCCCGTGAAGGTGTGCGACAAGTGCGCCCTCGAGCTCGTGAAGGAGGAGAACGTGCAAAAGCAGATGGCGCAGGCCGCGCGGACGCTGCCAGAGATGAGCCGGAGAGGCAGGAGCAGCGGCAGGAGGAGCAGGAGCAGCGGGAGCGGGAGAAGCAGGAGGAGTCACGAGCAGGAGAAGGGGGAGGAGGAGGAGGAGGAGGAGGAGGAGGAGGAGGAGGAGGAGGAGGAGCAGCAGGCCAGCCGAGCGCTGGGCAGTGGCGCCCGGGTGCTGCGGGTCGTGACCCCGCTGGAGTTCCTCTCCGTGCGCAAGATCTGCCTGCTCGGCATGATGAGCAAGGACCTCTCGCTCCCCTCGGGCCACCTCAAGGCTCAAGGGGGATGAGCAGGGCATGAGCGCGAAGATGATCGCGCTTCGCGCGACGCGAAGCGCGAAGTTTGGCGAGCGTGGAGGAGGAGGAGTTGGAGGAAGAGGAGGAGCTGGAGGAGGAGGAGAAGGAGGAGGAGGAGGAGGAGCAGGAGGAGGGGAATGAGGAGGAGGAGGAGGAGGAGGAGGAGTAGGAGGAGGAGGAGGAGGAGGAGGAGGAGGAGGAGGAGGAGGAGGAGGAGGAGGAGGAGTCCGTAGCCATTTTGGCTCAAGGGGCCCGCTCCTGAACTGCCCAACCTCTGCTCGAGAGATTGTGGCGTGTTGGTGCGGGGCCTTTGAGGCTCTCTGGCCTGGGGTTCGCGACCCCGCGTGTGTGAGTAGTGACCTCGGGGCGCATGGCGGTCAAGCCGAACGGCTGGCAGTGCGGCTCGTGCGGCTACTACAGTTTGGGATTCAGAGCGAAGTGCAGGCAGGCAGGTTGTACGGGACCGAACCCGCTCCTGCCCCAGAGTGCTCCTCCTCGGTCTGTGCAGCGTCCTCTTGGGAGTCGGGCCAACGGCCCACCTCTGGGGGGCACTCGTGGTGCAGGAGGTCAGGGAGGAAACGGAAGAGGTAAGTCGAAAGGCAGTCGAAAGCAGGCCCTCACTCCCGAGAAGCAGGCACCCTGGTTCGAGATGTCTGAGCCCCAGTTCTTGGCAGCCAATCAGGCGCTCGACCAGTCCTCTAAGGATAAGCTCATCGGGTTCCGCTGGAGGGCTAAGCTGGGGATCGCAAGTCGTGCCACTGTCAAAGAGCTTCGTTCCGCTCAGTCCGAGGTGGATCGCAAAGCTCAGCTTCTGTTGGACGCTCAGGGGGCCCTGGCTAAGAAAGAAAATCATGTTCGGGAGGCGTTTGAGTTGTTGCACAAGCATCGTCTCATAATCAAGGTATTGCAGAAGGAGCTAAGGCTGCGTTGGAGGAAGCTCGAGTCGCAGCTGCTGGGAAGGTCGGGCTGGGAGCGCCCGCCGCGGCCGTTCCTCCCCAAGGAGCGGCAGCCCTGGCAGCGCAGCTCTACAAGGCGATGGGCGAGATGCCTCTAGGGGCCTTGGGCGCGCTCGAGGGGCCGCTCATGGCGCTGCCGGCGGCGCTGCGGCCCCCAGAGCCCGCCGCTGCCCCTGCGCCCGTCGCCGCCCCCCCCCCCCCCCCGCGGCAGGGCAAGCTTGCCATCAGCCAGCGCATCTGGGAAGAGATGGAAGCAGCGCGCGGGGGCGATCCTGAGCGTCTTGCTTCTCTTGCCGAGCGCAGGGCCGCAGTCACCAAGAAGGCAAAGTGTTGTATTTAGCAGTTGGACAGCAGCCACAGCGAATGTCAACGCATACTCCTCATTGCAGTCACTTTTGGTTCATGATGAGTTCAAGGAGGCAAATGTCGTCATGATCCAGGAGACTCATCCGTCTGGCCACCGGTGTACGGAGCCTGAGGCTGAGTTAGGCAAGCTCGACTGGCGTGCTCGCTCGCCGACAGCATCGGATGTCATCGAAGGCAGTCAGGGGCATGGCGGTATGATTACTATGTGTCCGCGTAGCCATGGCATTGCGGAGCTGGAAACTATGTCGCCGGAGGTCCTGAACCCAGGGAGGGTCGCCATGTTATTCCATTCAGGGTTCGCCAAGCACGGTATCCTGATTGTGAATGTGTATCTGGTCAGTGGTGAAGGTATGGGTCATCACAACTTCCAATTTTTGATGAGCGTTGCGGAACGTCTGCGAGGAGTGAAGATACCTTACATCATGGGGGGGGTGGCTTCAACTATACGCCAGATGAAGTACGTGACTCGGGCATTTTGAAATACTTCGAGGCTGATGTGTTTCATCCTGAGGTCGCCACGTTCGAGCGGGCGGGCGCTGGATTTTCTTCGTTGCGTCGCGTCAGCTCGTCATCGAGAAGGTTGCGGCATTGGTTGACGTTCAGACCAGCACCTTCTCTCATGTGCCTGTGCGTATGCACGCGTCTGGTGGGGCAGTTCGACCGCGTGCATGTATCGCGCCAGTGCCTCGTGCCTCTCCTGCGGAGCGCCCAACTGGTTGCCAGCGATATGAGCACGAGCAAGGATGGAGGCCCGCGAGCACGCGCGCTGGATCTCTGCCCCGCCCTCGCGCAAACAGAGCGGCAGCAGTTGAGGGCGCCGGAGGGCAGGGGGCTAGCGGGCAGAGGCGTCGGGAACTCACTGGCGCATGGAACGCGTTCATCCAGCAGGCCGGGGTTGAGCTTTGCGATGTATATGACGCGGGCAACGACGCTAGCAAATTTCAAGGTCGCGATCAGCCTCTGCGCGCCAGGCGGGCGTCCGCGATGGCATGCGCGCTGTTTCTGCCAGTGTGGCTTTCGCCGCTCGCTTCGTGCAGCCGCTCGCGCGCGTCGCTGCGCTGCGGGCCATAGCGCGGAAGCAGGATCACGCGCCAGCTAGCGTTCAGGCAGGCGAAGGGCCAGCAGGTGAATGGTGGGCCTTCTTCCAGGCTTTCGGAGCTGATTCTTGGGACTGTGTCATCCTGGAGGTCATGGCTCGCGCTGCCAAAGAGGTGGTCCTCAAGATGGCCAAGCGCGATGAAAAGCTACGTCAAGCCAAGTTCCGCACATGGGTTGGCGAGCAAGCTGTTGGAGGGGCTGGGGGGCCCCATCGGATCGCTATGCCCCCGACGGGGTTCAGCGACACCAGCACTGCGCGTCTCTATCGGCCCCGAGACCGACAACAACAAGTGGATAGGATCCAGGAGGAATGGAGCAGGTGGTGGAGGGTTGGAGAGTGGCATCGCGGCCTCGTTTGGCCCGGGGATCTGGGGGCGCGCCCGGGCGTCCAAGCGTTGGGCACCTCCGCAAAGTGATGGGCGCCTTCCCCAAGCACGCTGGCATGAGTTTCTGCATGCTTAGGCCGCAGCAGTTGAACATGTTGCGCGGCCCTGCCCTGCAAGTTTCGCGGGCGCGCCGGCGGCAGTCGAGGCGTCGGCCGAGTGGCCGAGTATTGCTTCCAAGATCGCCTTCATGCCCGAGCGCCTGGGCGGCGCGCGCCCCGCTGCACCAATTCATATCGCTGCTCGCATTCCGGCGCGACTGCGCCGACCGATTGCTCCTCAGTGGGGGCCCCGAAATGGTCGATCCTATTTCTGGGCCTCCAAAGGGGGGCCGTGCGATCGCGCCGTCTGGCGACAGACGGCCCGGTCGGAGTATGTCACCACTAAGGCTAATGGATCAGCTGAGGGCATTTGGGCCTCTGGAATGGCCCTCTTGGATTCGATGAACATTCGAGCAAGGGGAACACCGCTGGCTTTTAGGCTGCAGTGGCTACTGGATTCCCGCTCTGACAACTGAAATTGAATATTGAAAATTGTCTAGGCCAAGCTGTGTCGTCGCCCATGGAGGTCGAGCAGGCGGTTATCCCTGGCGACGGCTGGGCAGCGCGCATGCTTAGGCTTGCGCTGATTCGGCCTCTCGATTCTGCGCATCGTTTGCGCCGCGCGGTCGCCGCCGCCATCGTCGTCAACGATTTGTTGCGGTATCGAATTTGGCACGCAGTCGAGAGTCGCGCGAGAGTTTGTCCAGGTCTCGCTTGAGTTACAGGCAGCTCTCGCTCGCTGCGGTGGGTTTGCGCGTGCGCGCGCACAAGTCGGGAGTGTTGTTCAATGCGCAGTGTGCGAAGGATGAGATTGCGCGACGTGTGCACGCTAAGATGGGCGCGGCTGCCACGCAGCACGAACGGAACCTTGGGATTGATTTTCCCGGTGGGTGGAGAGTTGGGCACGCTGCTCGCAAGGAACGTCTTCGGGGCGCACGGCCACGTCTACGTCGCATGGGTCTTATCCGCACTGGGAAAAAGAAACGGCTAGCAGTTCGAAAGGTTGCGCGCTCTGGGCTAGAGGCGAGCATGACGCATGACATGAATGTCACAGGATGTTCCACACCTACCCCTGAGACCATGCGCAGCACGGCCTCTGCTTGTCTCATGAGTGCCACAGCGGGCAAATCTCACGCTCTGCCGAGCTGCACGGGGGTGGGGTGCCGAGGCACGTGGCGCGGGTGGGATTGGAAGGTGCTTCGGCCTTCACCTCGTGGACCCAAGTCTGGGCCGCCTAGTGCGCGTCGGCTTTCGCCGGCACGGGTTGGGTGGTCAGTGCGCTCCGCTTTTCGTTGGAGCACCCACGATGGCCTCGAGTTGAATGCATCCGAGCTGCGTCCCAGAGTGATTCGCCATTATCTGGTGCAAGCTGCCGCGGCCTGGCAATGGCGACAGGTGGCGAAGCACGAAGACTTGAAACATCTTGAGTTTGGTGCTGTTTGATTGCCCTTGGTCCAGGCGGTCTCCAGTGGGCGGCTTCGGTGCGGGGAAATCGTGACCTCCCGACCCTGGGGCCCGAGGCTCGCGCGAATTTTAAGTCGCGTATAGTGAGCGGCCAATGGCCCATGGCTAGGAAGTACGAGGCGCGCAAGGCCATGAATAACGAGTGCTGAGTGTGTAGACGACCTGGCACGCTGGTGCGCAGGCATTTTGAGTGCGAGATGCGCCGTGAGCTGCCGTGCCCTAGTGCGTCTGGCCAGCTGGTCCAGGCTCGGGACTGGCCCCAGGTCCGCGCGCTGCCGGAGAGGGCGCTCTGGCCCATGCCTCGGACCTCGTGGAGGGCCCCCTGCCCAGGGCGCCGCGGTTTGGCATGGGCGCGCGGGCCCCGGGGCCCCGATTGCCAAGGAAGCTTTTGTGGACGGGTCGGCGTTCGAAAGTCAGTGAAGTTCTCTGTGTTGTACAGGCTGGGCAGTTGTCACCCTGGGCGAGCAGGGGCCGCTCCTGGTCGAGGATGTCGCGCACTGCGCCTGCTCACATGCCGTGCATGATGTCGACGGGGCCGAATTAGAGGCACTGGTTTTTCCGGTTCGGGATTCTGCGCCGCCGATCGTGGCCGTCACCGGTTCCGATTATGTGTTCCGTGGGGTGACCGGGAGAGGAGAAGAGGCCACCACGGCCCACTCCTCGGCTCGGGCTTGTCGGTGGCGTGTCTTCTGGAGGACCCTGGAGGATTTCGCAGGACTCGGCGTCAACGGACTGTTGTTGCGCAAAGTTAAGAGTCACTTGGCGATGTTTGACGTTGCTGCAGGGCGTATTTCACGTAGAGACAGAGTCGGCAATTTCCAGGCCGACGTTTGGGCCAAGTTTGGAGGCCAGCTCGCACGTGCGCCCGCCGAAGATCGGAGGCGCACGCAGCAGGCTGAGCAGTTTGTCGAGCAGGTTGGGCACAGGATTGGGGAGGTTGGCGCGCACTCGGATGCGAGCGACACGTCACACGTTGCGCGCCGTATGTGTGTGTACATGCCTCCTCCCCTCGTAGTTGTGCCCGCTCAGTTGATGCGCGATTTGAAGGAGCCTGCCAACAGGCCCTGGTGTGCGTGTTGCCGTGCCGTGGCCTCAGCGACGCAGACCTGCCCAGGGTCGATCTCGTCCCGCGCGCGAGATGCCAATGAACGGTTGCAGCAGCAGGCTCTGAAAGGCACATCGTTTAGTTGTTCTTCGGGCCGAGGAATCCCTGCAGGCGGTGTCCCACCCAGTGGTTGCGTGCGTGCATTGTGGTGCTCACAGCGCGAAGCAATTCAAGGGATTCCTCACCCACTGTGGCGTGCCTGGCGAGTGGGGCAGGAGGGCCGTCCGAAGGATAAGCCAAGGCTGCCTGCCAGGAGTGGCTGGGGAAGTTACAGACGTGATCGCTCCCTTGGAGTAGAGCCTTCCCGCGTGGACAGTTGTGCCCTCAGAGGGGGGTTCCACGGCATCGGGCAGAAGAGGAGGAGGAGGAGCAGGAGGAGGGGAAGGAGAAGGAGGAGGAGGAGGAGGAGGGCACGAGGGGGGCAGGAACAGGGGACGGGTGTTCTAGGTGACCCGCAAGGGCGCGAAGAGGTTCGCGCTCAGCGTGGCGCGAAGCGCGAAGTTTGGAGAGCTTGGGGGAGGAGGAGGAGCAAGGACCTTTCGTCTGACCCCCACGTCGCCTTGCGGATCGACCAGGGGGAGTGGGAGGGCACGGGCACCACGGACGAATACTTCAGCCCCGCGTTCGACGACTGGTTCCTGCTCCCAGTGAGGAGGAACGACAGGCTCCTCATGCTGGGGGTTTTCGGGGAGGCGCCAGATGACGAAGTCTCAGATCCGCGCGCCCGGAAGGAGGCTCAGCCACTGGGCGTCGCGGAGCTCAGGTTCCGCGACTTACCCGTCAACACGTGGACGACGGTCCCCAGAGGAAGCAACAACACATTCCTACACTCTCGGACCGGGAGGTGCGCGCGTATTTCTTGGATCGGTGGACCCCCCTCCCTGGCGCGCCAGAGCGGTCCAATGCTTATCCAAGAGCTCCGCGCGGACCTCCGAAAGTGTATGTTCAGGCCGCTCTGTGTTCCTCCAGGTGCGCAAGCCGCTGGACGGCGTGACCCAGGGCGACGTCGAGATGGAGGTGCGCTTCTCGGAGGACGCTTTGCACCTGACCTGACACTTGGCACTGTGAGTTTGCTGGCGCATGACCTCCGAGCCCAGCGAGGGTATTCTCAACCCATCGTTCATCATCATCATCATCATCATCATCATCATCATCAGCAGCAGCATCATCATCATCATCGCCATCATCACCATCAGCATCATCAGCATCATCATCCTTGCCATCACAGTCAGCTTCACCAAAGTAAGCATCAACAGCAACATTATCATCATCAGTAGCATGATCTTCACCGCAATAATCATCAGCATCATCACCATTACCATCAACAGCAGCAGCATCATCAACAACACCATCATTAGCAACACCACCATCACCATCACCCTCATCATCACCCTTATCATCAGCATCATCATGATCACCACCATCATCTTTACCAACATCATCGTCATCACTATCAGCATCCTCATCATCATCTTCATCATTATCACAATCATCATCAGCACCATAAGCAGCATTTTCACCATCATCATCACCATCATCATCAGCATCATCAGATTCGTCGTTGTCATCAGTCGTATCACAATCATCCGCATCATCATCACCACCACAAGTAGCATCAACATCATCATTGCCATTAACATCATCATCAGCAGCATCTGCATCATCACCATCATCTTCGTCATCGCCCTGTTCTCCCTCATCCCTCTTTTTTGCAGCTTGCAAGAAAGTGTATAATATCCTTGGAATTGGAGGTCGTAAAATTCTGTCCTTCGTGCGGGGGCTCTCCATCTCTGAATGCTCTTCGTTACCTCGGCCAGTGGAGACATCTTGGGGCCATCTTGTGCCCTCTGAGAGCTATCTTAGCCGTCTTGGGGACCATCTTGGTCGTCTTGAAGGCCATCTTGGGGCCGTCTGGAGAGAGAAAAACACGCGGCTTCAGAAGTTTCTGAGTCCTTACGGGGCGGAAAGCCGACAGGAGAGGCTTTCAATGCGGTTTTCCCGGTGGTCGGCGGGACCGGCCGATGGCCCATTAGGAACTTTTGAAAGCTGCCAACAGCCTCCCAACATTCCGTTTACCCCCGTGGCAAGCCAACACGTGGCGGTGGATGTGACAGGCCCACTGGAGGCGGATTGCGCTCTCACATGGCGAGCCTATGCCCAGGGGGCAACATCTTGTCGAACCGTGCAGCGAGGATCATCACGCAGTTCATGGCCGCGTGGTGCGGGACCACGAAGGAACGGGACGAGTGCGACACGGGTCCGAATGACGGCGAGGGGAAGCCGCAGAACGCGCCCAACCAGAAGTTCGCGCTGCAGAGAGCGCGTCATATATTGGACACGATGTTTGCGGAGCAAGGAGACAAGGGCAAGAAACGAGCACGCAACGACGAGGGCGACAGAACAGAAGAAAAAAACACATGTCGTCCCCGACGACGAACTCGACGAGGCAGTCTGGAACTGGCTGCATTACGGCACCGTGAACGAGGCCATGCAGTTCGCGGTGAGACTCTGGTTTCAGGAAGCGCGCCAATAGCCGGAGAAGCCCGCGTAGGCGGCGCCGAGGAGGTCCTTCTGCGCGCGTGGCGGCAATGCGGACGCTTACAGGCAGAAGCAAACATTCAACAAGAGAAGTAATGTTGCACGTGGAGGCGCACGTAAAATAGAGGGACGCGTCCGTGGAAGATTGGCTGACGCACCTGGGCCAAGGAGAATCGCCTCCGAACAAGGCCCGGAATGAATTCGTGGCCTGCGTGGTGGAGCGGTGCAAGCACGTGGCAGAAAGAAGTCGCCCATAAAGGGCGAGCCTCCGATATGTTGCCTCATGCGTATCTCCAGCGCGGGCGAGTCTACGTGCATCGGTTACAGGAGGCGCCTTCCCGAGGAGTGCCTGGAACGTGAGGGTGGTGTCCAATTCCAGTTCCTGGCATCGTTGAACACCACTGCAGTGCTCATAGGCGGCCAGATGATTCATCCTGGGGAAGCATACCTATTAACGCCACGCAAGCTAACGAACAAGTGGGAACGAAACGGGCGGTCGGAGACAGATACGCGCTGTTTCAGAAGGCTCTGGATAATATGGATAGTGACTGACGAGATCAGCACGGCGTCACCATCGCTTCTGGGATTGCTCGATTCAATGATTCGCACCATCGCCGAGCATGTTTGCGACGCCCTTTTGCGCGCCATCGGCGTCGACAACTGCTGTTCGGCGGGATTTACGTTGCGCTCGCAGGAGACTCATGGCAGTTGCCACCGGCGAAACACATTTTTCTATACACCACCCAATTTCTCCACAGAGCTGCGCATGTCCACCGAGGAGCAGCAGGCGTTCGGAATCTGTTGGGCCCCAGCTGATGATGACCGCAACCAGGGCGCATTCTCTTTCACGGGGCCAGCGCGGGTGGCTTCGCGCACTGTTGGACGCCACGCGAGACGGAAAAATCATTTGGGGGGGTGATACAGACTGCCTACCCAGGACGCCGGGGCGCGGCTGCCCGATTAGAGCGAGCCATGGTGCAATAACACTGCATGCTCAGCATTGTCAGGCGGAGAATGGCGGAGATCTTCCCACGAGGACGCCGAAACATGCACGGCTAAAGCTTGAGAGCGAACGCGGAGTGCGACGACTGCAGGACGGGGCGGCGACACCGTTGCTGCGCGTCGATCCGGCGACGTGGGCGACGAGCAAAGGTTGCAGGATCCGCCGTTCGACGCGGGCCCTCTCGCTCACCCGCTCGAGCGCCCGCCGTTCCACGCCGCGCAGCTGAGGGTCATCTCCTTCGCCTGGGCGGGTAGTCAGCTGGCGTTCTCAGCTGCCGCGCGCGTCGAGGATGCGAGAGGATGCGACGCGAGGAGGACGCGGTGGCTGGGTGGGGCATTTTCCGAACGGGGCGGCCGGCCGCGCGGGGAACGCCGACAGTCTGCGCAAAACCGCTCCCGGTCGTAAGTTCACGGAACCGGCGAATAATGCAGCAGGTGCTCTCCGGACGGGTGGGCGCTCGTTTCGGGCGGCGCCGTCCAGAGGCGCGAGGATCAGAGATCTTGCGACTGAACGGCAATGTGGCAGAAGCGGGCCGCTGGCTTGACCGGACGGTTGGAGCGCCAATTCGGGGAAAGACGTCAAGAGGCGCGAAGATAATCGATTTGGTCGCTCGGCAGACGTTCAGCAGAAGCGGGCCGCGCTGTTCCCCGCAAGGTCGGACCAACCGTTTGGGCGCGCCGCCCAGAGGTCGAATCTAATCAGAGGAGGAGTTCTATGGGCATTCCAGCAGGGTCGGATAACATTGCCCCCCGAACGGGCGGGCGAGCGCTTCGGGGAATGCCGCCCAGAGGCACGAAAGATCGGTGCTGCAACTGGACAGCAGGTCAGCAGATTGGGACAGCGACGCCCCCCGAACGCTTGGAGGATACACTCCTGTAGCGCAGCCCGCTGGCGCGCTGATAATCGATGGTGTAGCTGGGCAGCGGGCTGCAGTTCAGCAGAATCGGATCATGGCGTTCGCCGAACGCTTGATCAAACCATGCGGGAAACGCCGTTGCGCGAGTTTGTCCAGGCTGGGATTCGCACGCCGCGCAAGGAGGTGCTCGCGGGCAGCGCGGGCGCGTCTGAGGAGGTGCGCGAGGCGGCCAGGAAGAAACTCCATAGGTTTGTGGAAGACCCTTCTGTGACAGAGAGGCATGTTAGGAATTAGGAAATAAATAGCACCACGATAGGATTAGAATAGGTTTGGGAAATAGGAAAAAATAGGAAAACAATAGCCCAAACATTAGACAAAATAGGGCCATCGGCGTGGACAAGTCCAACAGTGACATCAATGAATTCGCGCGGGTCTCACGGGAGCGGCCGCCGCACGTATGTGCACAGACGCGATGCCGCGTGCCGTCTGGGGCCAACCAACTCCTCCTCCTGCTGCTCCTCCTCATTTTCTTGTTGTTGATCCTCCTCCTCCTCCTTCTCCCTCTCCTCCTCCTCCTTCCCTCCTCCTCCTCCTCCCCCTTCCCCCTCCTCATCATCATTATTATCCTCTTCCTCCTGCCCCCCCTCTCCCTCCTCCTCCTCCTGCCCCTTCCCCCTCGCCCCCCGCTGTGGGCAAGACAAATTCCCAGCCCCCCCTCCTTGCGGACAAGAAGTACTCCACGGCATGATTAAAGGCCTTAGCACTATACCCCCTCAGCCAACCCATATTTTTCTTCTTCGGGACTTCTGCTCGACTGCACGAGCCGCGTGAGGGGTGTGCCGAAATAAGCGGCGTTGCCATGACGACGCTCACGTTGGGGCCTTCAGTAGAGACCCATATGCGGCCGCCAAATGCAGGAAGTGTGTGCCGAAATGATGAGGTGATGCCATTCGGACCCCCCAAGGGGCTGCGCTTCGCCGAGAGTAGGTCGTGTCCCAGTTAGCTGAGTTCGCCGATTTCTCTTGCGCCCGAACCCCGACCTTTTGGAATTGCCGCGGTTTCTGGACGGGGTCGGGGTTGCGCTTCGGCGAGAGCAGTTCCAGGGGCGCCTGGATCGTCCTGAGCGGCTTCTTGGGTTCCAGGTTCCAAGGGATCTTGTCGGAGCATCATCGTCACTTGCAACCGTTTCCATAGCCGTTTGTGCTTCAGTTTCCAATCAGATCTTTCGAGATGAAATAGCTGTCCATATGAAGCTTTTACATATTCTGTTCGGTGGTTGTGCCACCGCTCTCCATGTTCAGATCAATTTGCCGCTCGCGAAGTTCGACGGCAGAGAGTGCGGCTCGATGCCTGCAGATGACGAAGGTGCCTTCAACGGGTATGCTGCGATGATGGCGAATGCTATGATGGCTGCGAACTCTGCACCGTTCGATAATTTTTCTGGCTTGGTGGGCCCAATCGGTGATTACGACGGGTTTGCTTCGATGTATGCTGAGCCAGACGCCAGCCCAGATGACGATCCACCAGCTGCTGCTCCATCTAACGCCGGCCCAGATGTCGACGCAGCTGCGGCTCCTCCAGACGTCGGCCCAGATGCCGATCCAGCTGCTGCTCCTCCACACGTCGGCCAACCAGATGCCGATCCAGCTGCTGCTCCTCCACGCGTCGGCCAAGATGTCGATGCAGCTGCTGCTCCTCCAGACGTCGGCCAAGATGCCGATCCCAAGTTCGAGA